TGGCAATAACATTTAAAATCTGAGACTAATGACCCAAATAAAATTTTCCCACCTTCTTACTGGTTACATCTTATTTAGTATTATTGCACTCATTAAAAGAATGCTTTAATGTACAAAAAAAGTCTGAGAGAGATTTGTGTAACAATTTACTACTTTTACTTTACGGATATAAATATGGTTGTGAAAGAACCAAATACATGTTAAAGACAAAACACTACAAACAAATACTTAAGTAGTCCGGCAATGTACAGAGGCACTAGGCCGTAGATGTGGACTATAGCTATAAATTCTTATTATACGAGAGGAGACTTCTTACTGCTGGATAGAGACAGTGTTATATAAAAGTCTGTAATGTTCTAAAGTTAGTAGACATAGAAACAGACATACCTCCTCTTTCTTTACAATCAGGACTGCACCTACCTAAATACTGTTGAGTATTTTCAATTAAACGATAATACAGAGAACTTTAACGATAAATAAATGTAATAGACATTTTACTTATTGAACTGACATCGAATTACAAGTGACAAGTAAAAAGAAGTAAATCAGAGTTGAAAAAAGGTTTCATTCAACAAACACACTAAAAAAAACACTACAAGAAGAGCTACTAAATAGCGGCATCTATCGTATATTAATTGAACTGGTAATTTTTTATTGGTAAAACAGCCATCTATTACTGCGCGTTGGCATATATAACAAATATAATACTACTAAAAACAAAATTAGTCTGTTTCTTATTATCAAAATAGATTTAAGGTGCTCCGTTATATTGCAGTATTTTATTTTCGGATTTCCAAGTTAAATGTACTGAGATTGTGCACCCTGATAAAGTGTTACAATAACCGTGGGTTTCATTGTCAAGATTGTCAAGATCAATAAGAGTTTGGGAAAGAAATATGAACAGGGACAAATTAATTTTATGTGGTGGGAGTACTAACATTTTATTAATTTATTTCTTAAGTTATGAGGTTAAAATATTTTTAATAATAGTTAAATCACGTGACATTCTATATTTTTAGTGAAAACTTAATTGTTATAAAAGTAGCTGCTACTAGAAAAAAAATGACCAAAAATAGATTTAAATTTATCATTTATGGATCAAATTATACATATTAAAACATAATATTAACAAAAACATACCAAATTGAGAAAATCCCGGTATCTAAGTAAACCAAGTTACTTTTTCATAACATAATTATTGAGTAATAATATCATCTCAATAATTTAACTTATAACTATAAAACCAAACTATTAAAAACACTAAAATACAGAACTAAGGTATAGGACTAGAAGATTAATAAAATTTTGATGCAAATAAAATTTCATGCTTAAAAATCATATTTCTAAATCAGGTATCAGTTGATAATACTATCTGCTGTACTCAGAATCATTAATTGATTTCTAAGGAAGCGACTTAGTGTAGATTTATTATGAGATTTAAAACAAGCAAATATTTAAGGACTATTTTGAATTAGGAATATCTATTGTTCAGTTTGTATATACTATGGTTTGTCTACAAAATGTATACATGATAATTCTTACCCTGAAATTGATTATTATTGAACCGTATTTAACATGAATAAATCTTTGCAACTGCATAACATGAGGTAGAGGATATTCAGAAATATATTAATTTTATTCGATTCTTTTATAAATGAATTTAATTTTTGAAATAACTAAAACTGTCTTATAAATGTTTAGTTTTCTGTTAGTTTTGAACCTAACAATATGAATTTTAAAATATAAAAACGCCCTTATTACAATAACTATAAATAACTTACATCTAAAACACACAAATAATTTTATTAGTGTCTATTTAAGTACGCCGCCATTTTGAAATCTTTAACTCTGTTGCGAGATACATGTTTTAGGTGAATGTTTCGGTTAACATATATTTGGAAGACATGTAATGTAAGCCATCAAATAGACTTATATAAA